TTGTTTGGAACATTTACTATTTTAAGAAGACAAGGACTGCAATCACCACAAGCCACTCACTGACCTTGAGAAGTGGAGCTGTCGTGGCAATGGCAGCAGCAGTGGCTGCTGCAATGGTTGTTGCAGAGTCAACTTCCCTGAGTGCTGATCTGGTGTCACGACCAACAATTTCCTTTTTTTCCATGGAGCCACTTCCCAAGAGCTGCACCTTYACCTCCTTATGAACAGGAGCATTCTGAGTTCTATAAAAGTAAACAAATAAAAATAAACTGCCTGTGAACAGCACTGTTTTCTCCATATCTGCTCCTGGCAAATKATTTCCCACATACAGCACTAATATCACTGTATCAGCATTTCTCCCTGAAGTTTTGACACAAGATACTCCAGCAAATAAAATCAACTGAAAACACTTTCATGCACAGAAAAAGGACACTAACAGAGAACAGTAAAAAATACACTTCTTACCAGCTATGCATTTTGGCAAAAAACTAAAGTGGTATAGCTGTGTATCTGTACATAATCAGAACAGGTAAGACACTAACAACAACTCATACTTACTTTTGCATTAAYACTGCTCTCAGAGCCTTTTTCTGGCCAGTGGCATATTGAGAAATAAAAACATCATCTGTGGGGAAGGACATAAACATGCTTTGTTGAGATAATAGACACAACATGTCTATTTCCCAMGTGGAGACAAAGAATTATTTAAATACACATAATTTTGCTGGCACAAATGTGTTGCCTGCAGAAACCACATCATCTATTGCAATAACAAATTCATTTTCTCCAGTAAGGAGCAGACCTAAATAATCATAAGAGTAAGAGCTGTTGGTCTCAATAAAGTCCAATATTGGTGAGTAAAGTCTCAATGGTAACTTGAGACTCAGACAACTCAGTCAATAAAGTACTGAAAATTCTAATGTGAAAATAATTTAATTAAGAAAACTCCAGAAACTGTGATGTGAGTTTTCTCTACCATCATCATAAATTACAACAAATTTTCTTAACAGGTGCAAATCATGCTAAAAGGATTGCAGGCTCTCCCTCACCCACTGTTTGCCCCACAGAGGAAACAAATGCTGGTAAGTCAGGTAACTGCTGCCTCTGAGTGTAAGAGAGGAAACTGAAGTACTGATTTTTGGTCTTACATAGGGTATTGATTTGTGTGTTTTCCCCTCTACACCACCCCAGGTATCCAAGAAACCTGCAGAAGTGTGTTTTCTTTAAAAAGTCTTCACTTCCCCAAATCTGATTGAAACTTGGAAGATACAAAAAGGAAAATACATTGACATTGTGCTTTTTAGGATGCTTAAGGATTAAAACCACAAGTTTTGGAATAGACAAATGTATTGACACAAGCCCCTTCTAAAGGAATTTTAACATTCTGGTACACTAGCAGAAGTCCCACCCAGTTTTTCACAAGAGTGTAATACCAAGAATGAGGTAAAATTAACAAAATTTAAGAACATTTGYTACAATTATCATCTTTTTATCAAAGCAACCTTTGAATATTTTCACTCAGAAGTTTCTATAATGAAAAAAAGTATCTAAAAGCTCCCTTTTCCTTTAATTAATCAGTCTTCTTACAAAAAAAAAAAAAGGGGTTGCAGCAGCAGATTGGTGTGTCTTACCTTCAGGTCCTCTGCTATCTTCCAGTAGCAGTGAAGAAYCATCTTGTGCTGCAGCTTCTCTGGGATAATCCTTCAAAACAAGAGCAGAAAAAGCAGAGATCAAAGCCTCTGCCATCAGGAGCCAAAATTTTTGAGGCAGATGGGATTGCTGAGCAAACAAATGGAATCGTTTGYACACCGTAACACAAAGGTCTTGGAACAAAACTTGCAAGGACCTCGAACACAGAATTAACTGTGGATGACATTGCTGTCAAGAACTCACACTGCTTTTTGGCAACTAAAATTCTAGAAACACAATTCAAATTAAAGGTATATATTCTAAGTGCTGAGAAAGTTTATTCTCCTCATGTGGCCAAAGAAGTAATAGTGAAACTACACCTGCTTAAGTTTAAAGAAGTTGCAAATCTTGGACAATCCTGAATKGCTCACACAAAGAGAATGAAGCACTGTTATTGCTCAGTGTGAAATAAAGCCTCTCCAAAAACATCAGCAATAAAACATTAGCAGCAACCCAAAGAAGAAAAGCAGCTGCACGGTTGTGGTGCAGAAGCTGAGCCAAAATTTTGTGCTGCTTTTAGAGGAGCTACCGCTTTCTGAGGAAAACACTGGACTCTTAGTTCAGGATTGCAGGAAGCAACAGCAACTTTTCTTACCATTTGGGATAAAAWCATGGGCTCTGAATTTTCAACTGGAAGCAGACGTTCTGGATATCCCCTTGTGCTTAGGACTCCTAAAATAAAAGCAGTTTTACTGTGGTCAGAATAATTTGTGGTGCATTTTCTGTATAGCTCCACATTTTCCTTATCTTTGAAYGCGTAAACATCATGACCCTCATAACACAAATGAGCACAGAGATTGAGCTGAAGTTTAAAAACATTGATTAATTCAGTGAGTCTGAATGAGAAACTTGTTTTATAGCATGGGGAAAACTCCAAAAGACAGAACATKATTGAACATTTTTAAAACAGGGATGCTTAACAAGGATTAAGCATTCCTGACCCCATGGACAGGGACGCCTTCCACTATCCCAGGTTACTCCAAGCCCCATCCAAACAGACATTGAACATTTCCAGGGATGGGGCAGCCACAGCTTCTCTGAGCAAGCTGTGCCAGAGCCTCACAGCCCGCAAAACASTTTGGGAAAACCAAAAGTGATGACCATTGCAGTAGGAGAATACAAAGATTCTTTAATTACAGAACTCCTCCATGGCTGAAATCACYTCTCAGCGCTTTCAGCACAAGCCTGAGCTGAACCCGACGGTCACTGACGCACCTGGAGCGGCGCTGGGGGAGACGCGGGGGGTTCCTGGCCCGCACGGAGCCCAGGCTGACACCGCGGCCGGGGGAACGCGGGGAGCTCCGCCCGCAGCCGAATCCCCCGGGCACGGAGAGACCCCGTCACGGAGCTTCTGCACAGCGACCGTCACTTTCCTGCCGGCCGAGGGCTTCTCCCTGCGGACCSCTGTGGAGCGGATCAGCACATCGCCCGCCGTCAGGCTGCTCAGAGAATCCTGGCTGGAGCTGGAGCTGCCGCTGCTCTCCGCTTCCATGGGGGAACATCAGGGGTTCGGCGAGCGGAGCCTTCACGAAGGGGTGTCCGTGCGGGCCGGGCGCTGCGGCGGCTGGGACAGCAGCCTGAGGGCTCTGGGGAGCGGTTCCCTCCCAGGCGTGGGC